CATCTATTCGACTAGGATCACAATTTAGATACAGTGGGAAAACTGAGTATCAGACCACAAAAGCCAATAAAGCAAGAAGATCAACAACGTTTGAAAGAAGGCCCAGTCAGCGATATTCTCGAAGAACGCTACAAATGAAAGCAAACACAGCAAAACCTGAAGAAGTCAGTGTTTACAATAATAGTTCAACTCAAAGTGATGTCTTCCAACAGGCTTGGGGTGTCAGACCTACTGTACCTGTGATGCCTTCCTCCCCCTGTGGTCCTATGCTGGTAGAGATGAGACTCTTCCAAGAAATCCTGGAGTGACCTGCATGATAGGAAATGGCTCTTTGCTGCCAGTGACTGCTGTCAACATTGTGGAAACCAGTGGAACACCTGGGCCATGTCCCCACCCCAGACCGCATATAGAAACTACACTGACTCTGTCCATGTGCACAGTGTGAAGAATACACCCAGTGTGAAGGAGCCCACCATGCTGGTCACTTCCCTGGCCAATCAGCCATGACTGAGATATGAATGTTAAACCTTTTAGGCATTGTGTCTCTTTTGTCATGAGAGTTGATGGTGTACGTTTTCTAATCTTTATAGACTATTAGGTCACAATAGGAGAACTGGGGAGAAGTTATTTCATGCTGAGTCACTAGTCATGTATAATTAATTTTTCTCTGAAATGGAAAAGGATCTAAAGGTGCTGTATTCCATATAATGACAACTGATTTTTTATTGAGAAAAGTATGTACATTGTTGTAGTATACCAAAATATACATCGTTGTAGTATACCAAAATGTACATCGTTGTAGTATACCAAAATAAATCAAGTAATTTAGATCTATGACAGTAATATTTTTATTAAAAAATTAAGTTACCAGTATACATTTTGTCATTCTTGTGAAAAATGTGCCTACTTTGTTTTTTAATATAAGCCTTATAATTTACAAGTTTTCGGAATGCATTGATAAAATGAGGTTTGTTACCAACACTCAAATGTTACAGGAAATTTCTTTTGTTAAATGTAAACATATTGATTTTGTTATTTTTAATATTTTGAAGAATATTACTTCAAAGATTTGAAAGATTAATCATTTGAGCACTAAACAAAGTATAAATTTGTGCTTGTCATGTGCCATTGAGTCATAGTAACTCTGTATAGTTTCTGAGGTTCTAAATCTACAATGAGCAGAAAGCCTCATCTTTCTGCTGTGGAGCAGTTGGTGGATTTGAACTGTTGACCTTGAGGTTAACAGTCCAAAGTGTAACCCCCTACATCACCAGTTGTGGTTGGTCTCCTCTTTTCAGACAGGTGTCCCTGTCTTAGTTGTTTAGTGTTGCTGTAACCAAAGTAGGTGCTTAAACAATTTATTTTCTCACAATTTAGTAGGCGAAAGTCTGAATTCAAGGCACCACCCCCCACCCCCCCTTTTAGGAGAAGGATCCTTGGTGGCGCAGACAGCTGAGCATTGCATTACTAATGAAAAGTCGATGATTCAAACCCATTAGCCACTCCCAGGAAGAAAGACAAGACAGTTTGTGTCCATAAAGATTTGTTGTTAGGTGCTGTTGAGTCAGTTCCAACTCATAGCAACCCTATCTGTGTACAACAGAAGGAGACATTGCCTAATACTGTGCCACCCTCACAATGGTTAGGTTTGAGGTCATTGTTGCTGCCCTTTTTGTTGAGGGTCTTCCTCTTTTTCACTAAACCCTCCACTTTATGATGTCCTTCCTCAGGGACTGTTCCTTCTTTAAAACATGTCTAAAGATTTACTTCTTGGAAACCTTTTGGAGTTCTAGTGTGTACTATAGGATTACTGAGTCAGAATCAGTTGAGGGTTTAGTTTTAATTTGGATCTCTTAACTCTGGGGGAGGGTCCTCTGATCTCTGGAGCTTCAGTTTCTTGGTTCCTTGGTGATCTTTGTAGGGCGTGGCAACTATCTTCCTGCCTTTCTGCCGGCTTCTCTGTGCCTAATCTGCTCATTTTAAATCTCAAAAGTGACTGATTTTAAAACACATATGAATAAAATCCTATGCCCATGAGGCTTTCTGCTCCCATACAGATTTACAGCCTCGGAAACCCTGTACAGGGCCGCTATGAGTCAGAATTAACTCCACGGCACATAACAACAACAACAACAAATGGGATTACATCCACGAGTATAGGATTTACAACACATATGCGGGTGCTTCAAAAAGTTTATGGAAAAACAGAATTAAAAGATAATAGAGTAACACTGCAGGATCAACACTGGACTTCGAACTACAACGTTCGCAGTTCAAACCCACCAGCTGTTCCTTGGAAACCCTATATAGGCTCGTTATGAGCTGGAACAGACTCAACAGCACATAACAACAACTGAAAAAATGCAATTTATAACAGTTCTTTAGGAACTAAAGATCCAAGCAACAACAGGTAGGGGCAATAGAAATCGAGTCACAGTGAGGAGGGAAAAAAAGAAGAAGAAAAAAGAAAATACTTAAGAGGGTGAAGAGAGAAAGATGATATCCTAGGTACAGTAAGCAAAGACAAAAGACAGATGTTTCTCACAAAGATAGACAGAAGAAAGACAATTTCAAAGGGTTCTTAAGTGTTAACTGCAGGAGATTGCTTCTTTTGCACACATACGCAATTCCTCTTCTCCCTGCTTTTTTAATAGCTGGATAACTTCAGCTTTTACTTTTTAAAAACCTCTGTAAAGAAATTATTGCTTTAACAAAAATAAAATCAAGACCTACATTGGAACAAAAAACCTTCAAGAGCCCTGCAAGTCCTTCCAAGATTTACTTTACCTTTGGAATGGCTTATTATCTTCAGGCCCCTTGCACTCAAGTGAGAGAGACCATCTGGCCTTCTTCCATAGCACAGTAGAGACTACGTTTGAACGTTAAAATTAGACTACTAAGGACTATACACAGGAATAACATGAAATCCAATGATCTAGTTTATAAAACCTGGATTGCTCTGTTCTGGTGGCCCATTCTACCTCCCAATCTGTTTCATCTTTGCACCCATCACCGGGTGATCATAGCTGCCAAGCTACTTTTCTTAAAGTACTGACTCCAGGGTCTAGCATGAGGCCTACCCTTCAGGCCTCAAAAGAATAAATTACATATCATGAAATAACTCTGTTCACCCAAGAGATACAGACAGTAATAGGTGTCCTTGATCAAGTGCTCCACTGAACTGGCTACCAATTACCAGTACCCTGGAGAACAAATTATCCTCCAGAACAGTGTGACAAGCCTGAGGCCTAGGGACATGGTGAAAGAGCACAGGACCAGGCACTGTTGTTGAGTGCTGTCAAGTTGGTTCCCAGTCATAGCGACCCTGTGTAGGAGGAAGTGATGAGTTTGAGCCACCAATCTTGTAGTTAGCAGTCCAGTGCTTATCCTACAGCACAAGACCAGTACTAGGCATTAGATGAAGTGATTTTGTTCCTGACTCCTTCTCATGTGATCTCTGGTCAGGCTATTTTAGCTTCAGAAACTTTATTTACATCAAATATGTAATAGAACCTGTGTCTACCATAAAGGGTTCGTGAAACAGCAAAATGAGATAACAAAATGGGGAAAGTGCTTTGAAAAAGTGACTGTTAACAAAAAAAGAACAAATGACCTCCACTCTGCAGGACTCAGCAGTGTATAACAGCAACCACAAAGTTGAAAAACACTGGTTTAGAGGCAATGAGAAAAGACAAGATTGTGGCTTTCTAAAAACCTACAATGTGTGGCAGATCATATGTTGTTTTTAAGTGCCACAGAGTGGGTTCCAACTCATGGCAGCCTTGCATAGGGTTTCCAAGGAGCAGCTAGCTAGTGGGGCTTGAAAGCCAACCTTGTGTTTAGCAGTCCAGTGCGTATCCTCCAGCTCCACACTAGTAATAATTGATGTTAAAATGTGGGTCTTGCCAGGCCTGGAGTGGAGTTTAAATGTTAAAATTTTTACTGTATGGTCTTTTTGACTTGTCCTATAAAATCAGGATGGTTTTCTGAGGCTCAGATGAGATAATTTAAGTAAAGTTTACGTGCTTTTTGTGTGTGAGCAGAGTGCAGGAAGATCATTGAGGATGAATGTCTTAATACATCATTAACAAATTACAGTTAGGTTGCAGAGCTGTTTCTCGGTTTCTCCCTTTCAGATGCAAGCCTCATTTACAGGCTCAATGTAGCTATCTCAAAGTCTTATTGTTCTTCAAATATGGAAGACCATCAAAACTCCAAAGCCTTTTAGGATGTATGGAAAACTTATTTTCAATCCAGTTTCAACCAGGAAGTCATTTCCTCAATTCGTTCTGAGATTACAGGGCTAATGAGAAGCGTTGCTGACCCGAGTAAATAAAAATAAATGTAAGCCATACTTAGCCAAATTTATTTAAATGTATTCTTAATTTTCCTCGATATTTCTAAGGAAGAAATTCTTAGTGTATTTCTAAATTTTTTAAATGGTAATAATGTTGGGCTGGAAATAAAACAGGTAACTTCCTCAAGGTCAGTGGTCCAGAGGAATCGATGCTCCCGATTCTTTCTCCCTTCCTCCACCACCAAATTCAGCCCATATCCCACGACTACCTAGCTGGCCTAGGTGCGAGGGCGAGAGAGGAGGGTGGGGGGGAGGTGGAGCTGAAATGTAACTTCATTGTTCGCGGGACCGACTCTTCCCGAAAGAGCCCGTTGGCAGCGCCTGCGCAGTGCTATTTCTTTGTGCCCGGCTGCAGTAAGTCGGTTGTTTGTGTATGTTTCACCGAAGCAGTGGAGGCGGAGTCGGGGGGCGTGGCCTACATTGTCGCATTCTGACTGGGCTTCCGCAGGGAGGTGGGCGGACACAGGGCGGAGCTGCCGATAACAACACTTGGAGCTGGGGCTGGGGCTATTTGTTGCTGCGCCGCCACCGCCCGAGCCATGGTCCGCTCTCCTGCTGGGCTTTCTTCGCAGCAGCAGCCGCCGCCACCCTGTAACCGCTGACTTCGCTTCCTCCTCTACTTCCTACTGAGCCACCCAGCGGTATGACCGTCGTCTCAGTCCCGCAGCGGGAGCCGCTTGTCCTAGGCGGCCGCCTTGCACCGCTGGGCTTTTCCGCTCGCGGCTACTTCGGGGCCCTGCCGATGGTGACCACGGCCCCGCCGCCGTTAGCCCGGATCCCGGACCCCCGGGCACTGCCCCCGACCCTCTTTCTCCCTCACTTTCTCGGGGGGGATGGCCCCTGTCTCAGTTCTCATCCTCGCGCTCCAGCTCCTCTGACCAACTGCAGCCTCGCCACGGCGGGGGTCGCCCCTCGGGCAGCTCCGAAGAAGCGGCGAAAGAAGAAGGTGCGGGCTAGCCCGGCGGGGCAGCTCCCCAGCCGCTTCCACCAGTACCAGCAGCACCGGCCGAGTCTGGAGAGCGGGCGGAGCCCCGCGGTCGGCCCGAGCAGAGCGCACGAGATCCCGGCCCCGACCGCTGCGGCCGGAACCCCAATTGAGGAGAGGAGCTCCGTACTTGGCCCGCTGCCGCCCACGGGGCCCGACCAGCCCTCGCTCAGGAAAGAGGTGAGGGCCGCAGAGGTCCCTCCCGCGAACGGCCGCAGCCCGAGCCTGCTTTGGGGCCCTGCGCTGAGGTTCTGAGGGTGGGGGCAGGGTGAGGGGCTGTTTACTCGGGAGGGAAGTTTCCGTGACGCCCGCTCGCTTCTGGTCAGGGGAAGAGGAGGAGGCAGCATGCGCTGGTGCTGCTGATTGGCTCCCGGAAAACAGCCAATGAGAGCAGCCGCTGCGCCCCAGCAACAACCCCGATTTAGCAGGCTGGTGGCGTTCCAGGGGGTTTCGGCGCTCAGCGCTCGCAGCGGATGGGGTGGGGTAGGATGCTGACGTCAGTGCGTGCTACGTGCCCGTCGGTCCGGCGCTCATGAAGGAGGCGGTGGGGCGGGGGCGGTTTTTGCTTCCCAACTGCCGGTAGCTGCGAGACTGGCTGAACCGCGTGGACTAACCCAGATCTCTCGGAGTGGGATGTGACATGGCCCGTGTGATGTGCACAACCCCACCGGGGCTCCGACCTACTTTGCGGGGCTTTCAAGCTTCCAAGTTGGGACGAGCTGCGGTAGTGAATGCTTTTCACTGCATGAAGCTCAAAGTGTAAAGCAGTTTTTGTCTGCTAGTCTTTAGGAGATAGTCTGTTGAACCATTACCATTGTACTCTTACCAAGCTTCCTATTGCGTCTAGAATGACATATTCGAAAGTTCCCGACTGGGTTGACGTTATGCTGTCCAATTAGCGTAGTGGTTACGAGTCAGGCTTTTCTAACCTCATGGTCCACAGTTCCAAACTACCAGCTGTTCCGCGGGAGAAAGATGAGGCTTTCTGCACCTGTAAAGAGTTACAGTCTCGGAACCCCTCTACAAGGTCGCTATGAGTGGGAACAGACTCCACCGCACACCAAGATAGAATAACATGGGTTAAATTTAGACTACTGACTTTAGTTTTATAGGTTTATCTTAAAAGTCTGGAACGTTTGGTGTGATTGTCGTGTGTGGCGACTCACAAGATCAGTAGTTGAAACTTAAGTTGCTCCTAGGAAACCCTATACAGGGTTGCCCTATGAGTCAGAATCGACTCAACAACACTTAAGTTTTAAAAGTTAGTGCCACTGTATAGCAGTCCTTTGGAGAAAAATGACTCAATATGCCTTCATTAGTTACTTAAATTACCTTAGGTTTCATTCAAGTTATTGTGAAATCCCACGGTTCTTGTGAAATTAGTGAATTTAAATACGAATTTTACTGTTATTTCCTAACCATGGAAATGGGTACTAAAATTCTTGACCATTGCCCTAGTTGACAATACAGCTTGACATATCTAATATTTTCATGCCCAGCTTTCCTACCATATTACAAATAACTGGAAATCACCTTAAACTTTCCCATCTGATGAAGACTTCTCTTATAAAGGACACTTTTAAGTTAGGGAAGGCTAGAATTACCACAAAGTTCATGAAGCATTTGTCCAATTAGGAAGTAGGGGACAAGTAGGAAACACTTTTCTGGTTATGTATATTGAGTAAGTAATGTATAACTGGAAAAGGTGATAAAATGTAAATTAGTATTTAAAAGATCCACAAGAGATTGGGGTGACAACAGTGGTAGCAACAATGAGCTCAAACTCAACAGTAATTGTAAGGATGGTGCCAGGGCTGAGAGTGTTCTGTTGTGCATAGGGATTGCTGTGTCCTACGACACTTTAATCACTTGGTAATCAGTCACATTTTTATTTGCTCTGATAATTTTTTATTTTCCTTTTAAATATATATATATATAAACATACTTCTGTTTAATCAACCTATCAAAATGAAAGCATTTGAAAATTTGCATTGGCATCATTTAATTTAGCTTGTATTGTCAGAAAGAGGTTGGCCCATGTATTTAGAAGATCTAGCAGTATTCCCATAGAGAAAGATGAGTTTGAAGTTGGCTGTTTGTTTTTTCTCATTAGATATTTTAGAACTGACTTGCATACTGGTAAAACAGTGATAACTATATATTTTTTTTAGTGCTAGGCAAAATAAGAGGTATGCTATAATGATGTATGTAGCAAAAAAATATTTGATCAAAACCGTGAACTTTGAAATTTAGAAAAACTTTTTACAAGGAAATATTTTAGTGCTGGTTTGTGACTGATTTTTATCTTGTGATTGTATTTATGTTTGTGTCCCTTGTGGTTTTTTGTAGGTTTTTAAATCAAGGATGGGAAAATCGGAGAAAATTGCCATTCCTCATGGCCAGCTTGTTCATGGTATGCACTTGTACGAACAACCAAAGATAAACAGACAGAAAAGTAAATATAACTCACCACTAACCAAGATCACCTCTGCAAAAAGAAGTGAAAATAACTTTTGGCAGAATTCTGTTTCATCTGATTTAACTCAGAAGCAGGAAAAAAAGCCTTTTAAAAATACCGAGAACATTAAAAATATGCAGTTGAAGAAATCAGCATTTCTAAGTGAAGTAAGCCAAAAGGAAAATTATGCTGGAGCA